AAAAAAAAAAGAGGTACAGGGTGTTTTGAGTTCGTGGTTGCCGAAATATTAGATCAAAATTTATCACCCCCCCCCCCCGGAAATGCCTTAAAAATCCTATACGAAAACCACAAAATTCCAGGAACGCCTCAAATCGATTTGGTCCCTGAACAACTCTTGTGGCAAATAGGATGTAGATCACTACTTACTAAAAAAAAAAAATTGAAAAAAGTGAAAAACTCGTGAAGTTATGGCCGGTCAATCAAAATCGGTCTCACACTTTCCGGCACTGTATAGGTGTTGGGGTGTGTGTGATGACGCCACTGGTTTTGTAGAGAGACGCGGCAGAGATGGCGCGGATAACCCGGGTGCCTTTATTGTGTACCTGCATCGTGGAAGACCCCTTCAATGTGGAACGATTCCTATTCAGTGTCGATGCTTACACTGCTGTGCCTATCACAGATGATCTGGATAAATTCGGGTGATTGTCAATTGCAATGATGGCTTTGGTTGGGCGTTCTTCTTCGTTGTATGTCCATGGACTCATTCATTCTGACAGCAGCTGCATGCCACGAGCTTGTGTACCATGCACCAGGTGTTATTATTGTACAGACAGCACTTCAGACAGCAGTACGCTGTAGTCGACAAACATGCTTTTTGGTTAAATGCGAGACAAGGGGGGTGATGCTGCTGCTGTAGTCGAATTGTTGTGTGTGGGCGTGTAGCTCAGTTAGTTGTGAGCACGCAAACGTGCTGCAGGAAATTGTAGGTGTACCTCTTCGGGCGTGTGTACTACCCTTTTCTTGCTAATAGTGTGTGTGTTCTTTAGATCTTCTGATGGCTCCAGCACTTTTGTGACCACGGACCGAGTCTTTGCTAGATTCTGGGATTAGCAACTGACACGAGTTGAATGTGAAGAAAAACAACAAAAACAACAACAACAAACACTTGGATTTTCTTCCAATGTTTGCCCTTATAGGCAGGCACAGCGGTTTCACAATCGGAATACAACCACCAATTCCCGGCACGTACTCGCTTCCCCTTTGTGACGAGAAGATTGAATAAGGGATTCACTCAAGCAGCTCCGCTTCCATGCTTCCATGCATCAAGTCACATAATTGAACACCCACAGGTAGGTGTGAACGGCACTCTGAATCGAGTGTACCTTCCCAACCTGATAATGGTGCGTGTCACCGGATCGAGAGCCACAAAAAAACGCATCGCGTTCCTCTTGTCAAATCCAGCACTGCGCCCCTCTTTGCAGCCTTTCGCGCCGTGAACGTGTAATAGGGTGTGATGTGCGAGCACAGGGCAACACAGATACACATGATGAAACGCTTTGTGACTCCTGCATATTATTATTTTGTCTCGCTCAGAACCTTACAACAAGCGATGGCCACCTACCCGCGCACACGCCACACAACACACGGTACATCGTAAAGAAAGTCCAGATAAAATGTCGTGACATGGCGGCTTCGCACGTGAGTCACTACATTATAATTGTTATAGATGAAACAAGCATACAAGAAAAATGGGAAAAATATGAAGTAATTGGGATCACATCCTCCCGAATGCCACAATTGTCTCGTTAATACTCATCATCTCGTACCGACGGCCGACCTTCTCCTAGCGATGAGACGAGAGCAAAAACCGAACGAAAACAAAGCAAGTCATGAGCACGGGACCCGACAGAACAGCAGACTAGACTAGCAGCAGCAGCTCGCACACAAGACGTAGCAGCGGCAGCGCTGCTGCCAGATCGCACCCAATTTCATTCAAGACACGCAGTGATGCGGCACAATACCATTCAAACTTTCCTTGAAATGCATCATTTCGATCTCGATCACGAGCAACAGCCAACACCCTGCATGCCAAGCTAGCGAGCCACAGTCATTTGTGAAAGAAAATCCCGAAAAAAAGAAGGCGACAGCCACCCGACTTCTACTATTGTACGCCTGGAAGGCAAAAATTGAGGAATGAAATCTACACTTGAACTTGTTTAATAGCGGGAGAACCCGCACGAAGGGTCTGTACCGCTCTTAGCGACCTCGTGCAAGATCATAGAAGGGAGTGTCTCCCACTGCCGATCACCATTCTCACCACATAATTCATGAGCAAACTGGGCACGTCGTTCTCGACCCATGCACATCGAGGGTATCATATGACCTCGTGTCAAGAAACGGCTGCCTTAACTCTACACCAGTGAAGGGAAATCCGCGCCGTTTCCACGCAACCTGCTTTTCCCTCACAGCGACTTCAGTGCCCACCGTTTCCCAAGACATGTCATCTTCGCGACATTTACTATACCAATTGATGATGGAGGTAATCCACCAAATAAAACGCGAAGGAAAGAGTGAAATGTGCCATAAAGGTTCACTGTGACAACCTTCCTACGAGCAAGGACTCCGAGTGTTGTCAAACATCGATCATCTCACGTGTGTGCTGTTTTGCGTCCAAAGCGATGGAAGCCCCAAAGCCTACGCCCAACCGGCACTTCCAAGAAGCGTCTATCTTGCCTACTGCCGACACTCCCAAGAAATTCTCCCGATGTACACATGTCGTGTCGCGCAAAAAAAGAAGAAAAACAACACACACACAAACACACACGCACAGACAGGCACACGCATGCTTTGGCTCGAACAAATCGTGCGTGCCCTAAAACATACCTCAAGAAATAGAATGGTCGCAATCTCAGTTGGACGCCTGCCGTTCAAAATCACACCAAGACCACTGCTGTCGCCGACCAATACACTTGTGCTCATGCCCAACGGCAGAGTCCCAACATCACCACCACTGCCCTATCTACAGCTGGACTGAATATATCTCTCCCTCTCCCCCCTCCCCCCTCCCCCCATGTCATGTCTGTGGTACCAAGATCCGAGCACAACTATGCACAACCCGTGTCAACATGGACCAAATCGTGGATCGCCGTATCGTATTCGCGCTAGCGAGCATCCGGGCGACGGAGTGTAGGGTGCGAATAAACGCCATGGAAGGTTCCGCGACACGACACCACCTCTCTTGAAGCCACCTCAGGGGACATGTATGACTAATCCTCAAGTTGTTCGTGTCAGACCTCTAGGCTGCTTCTACTAGTGGTGATCCTTGTTGCACTGACGGCCGCTAATGCCGCTGATGACCTACCTGCTCTTGGGAACGGCCTCCTAGCCCAAGCCGTTTGGTGCAGAGCTGAAATCGCTCAGCGACTGGCCGAGATGGCCAGAGGTATTCCTCAAATCGCCGCCCGGCATGTCGCCACCGCCACCCCACGCATCCCCCAAGCCTCTATTTGTGGACCCAATCTCCGCCTCCGCGTCCAACGGTATCCTGGAGAAGAGCATATCCCCCTGCACAGGCCACGCTCCGCCCAGCTGGCAGCCGGTCAAGTCGTTCCCATCTGCCGACAGGTCCATGGCGGTCGATGCGGCAGACGCCGCTGCCGATAACCCTCCCCTGGGGCCGGTCACGCCGCCTAAATTCTTGTGGTGCGGCGGAGCTCCAGACGCTGTCTCGTCACCCCCTCTGGATTGCTGGCCTAGTTCCGCGAGGCCAGTGGAGGGAGCTGCCGAAGCCCAGCTGCCGCTGTGCAACATTCCACCAATCCCGCCACCGCCGCCGGTGGCCGCAGCAGCGGCAGGGGCGACCCCCGCAGCGGGGTCGCGAAACGCGTCGCAGTTGCCGCCGCTGACTCCGTAGTTGGCCCACGGGAGATCGCTCAGCAGCGTCGGGTTGAACATCCCGAGCGTCTGCATCGTCAAGAGGTTACCGCTGCTGCTGCTCGCGCCGCCGCCGCCGCCGCCGCCGCCGCCGCCGACTGCTGCCGCTGCCGTTGCAGCCAGAGCGGGAGGAGGACGGAACAATTCTTCGGGTGTCAAGAGCAAGTCGCTGAAATCCACGCCCAAAGGCAGCGGCGGCTGCCCTTGCTGCTGCGTCGACGCACCCACGCCCTCCCCCCCGTCCGCTCCGGAGAGTTCACACATTCCCGGCGAACCACCGGCAGCAGCAGTCAGCACGCCTTGAGCCGGCGCCCTCCGCGTGTCCGCGGTCGACGACAATCCCCCCGTGCCGATAACCGGCGGGGTCCTTTCCGCACAACGGGTGAAGAGGAGGTCCCAGGCCGTGCCCTCCCCTGGCAACGTGCGCCGGACGGAGGGCGCGGTGACGCAGAGTGCGCTGTCGGACACCGACCTTGCCCCCCCGTCCGCCGACATGTCTTGGGTGAGGCGGTGCCGGTGGTGATGACTCTCGCTTCCACCCCACCTTCCTCCTGGTCCGTCCCCCAGTCGTGGTCGGCCACCATTGACCGGGGCCTCCTCACGAAGGGCTCCCAGGTCAAGGCCGGTCCTTTCGGTAGCCGGCCTCCAGGACCCGTCCGAACCGATACTAACCACAGAGTGCGACACAGACCGCGGGCGTTCGGGCACGCTCAGCAGCCCCCCCGCCGCCGTCTCTACGGTGGCCGCACTGCTCCCACCTACACTCGTGTCTAACCCCTGAACGTATACTTCCGGGAGGGTGCTATCGTTCAGCGCTGGGGGGCTGGGGGAGCCTGCAAGCACATCTGCCCAGTCCAGGAAAGCCTCATCTGTAGACACGTCCTCGCCGAAGCCTTCCACGCCGCCCGCCGCTTCCGCCATATCGCCTTCTTGCACCTCCTGCTCCCCCGGCTGCTTTGGCTGTCGCTGTTGCTGCAGCAGCTGCCGCTGCTGTTGTTGTTGCTGCTGCTGCAGCAGCCATTGCTGCGGTCGTTCAAGCAGCCACGGCTGCAACGGTGTTCTTTGCGTAGCCGACGACAGCAACGGCACCGGATGCTTTTCGGACTCCTCTTCCTTCTCCTCGTCCTCCAGCCGGGGCTGCCCGACGCAGGTCTTATCATCCCCTCTCCTCCCCCGCGGTTGCTCTCGCGTCACGCTGGCGCGGTCATCTGCCAACCACGCAGTGAGGCCAGCATCACCTACCGCACCAGCACCTGCGAAGCCAGCGGTTGCCCCACCTTTACGAAGATCCCCTTCTTCAACCCCCAGCTCCTGCTCCACGGGAGACATCGCGCATTCCCCCTTCCCCGCGCCAGCAGCGCTCCGCCCGCCGCCTTCCCCCCCTCTTCTGGCCCCGGCAGTGAAACACAGCCCACTTGCCGAGGACGTCGACGGCGGCGGCATGATTGTCGGATCCTGTGTGCACGGGGCCCCGAAATCGATACTGCGTCGCCCCCTCCATGGGTTTGTCACGGACGAACTCTCCCGCCCCTTTGCGTCGACAGCAGCAGCAGCTGTGGGAGCGGTGGTATCAGCCGCGGGAAGGGTGGTGGACCCCGGAGGTGCGGCACCGCTTCCCTCGCGCTCCCGCTGCTGCTGCCGCACTCCCCCGCTACTGACGGGCGTCTTGCCTCCGCTCTGCGGAGGATCGGTACCTCTCGGCTCCGCTTGTTCCTGAAAGATACGGGGTTGGTGACAAGGTACGGCAGGGTTCGATGCATGCTGGCCGTCGAACATATCGATGCTCGGCCCAGACCCACAAGACACAGCGTGTGCACTCGCGCAATAGGCTTGCAAACAATATTATGGGAACGTGTATGTTTGCTCGTTGACAGCATCACGCAGCAGGAGAACACGCGAGGTAGTTGCATGATAAGAAAAGATGTTTAACACACACGCTTTGTCTCGCTATATAGACTGACTTCGTTTAATTGGTCAGCCGATTGGCGCGGTCGATGTGGAATAAGAAACAAACACATCAATCCGAACAGAAGAATAGCCCCCCTCCCATTCCCAGCCGGTGTTTGCCATCGGGGTTGGGTTTTCGTCGCTTGGCAACGACGTTGTAAGACAAGCCGCCCCCCCCGGTGTTTTGCCATCGGGATTGGGTTTTCGTCGCTTGGCAACGACGTTGTAAAACAAACCAATTCACTTCGTGAACTCGGCAACCAGGTTACCGTTTTTTANCCACGTTGTGTTAAAATGGTCAAGCACCCTCGAGGCAGTTACACAGTGCTTACAACTGTCTCAGAAAGTGACAGCACCAGAACATAAATAAAGTCATACGCAGCTGTCATCCGTACGCAAGGAAGTAAGCCTAAGATGCCGAACACCTTTAGCAGGATGCAGCGCACCCTTCATGCGACTCGCCGAATATCTCACGGCGCTTCGCGCTTGGTGATGTGAGAGCCTGGTCCGGTGAGAACCCGGCGTGCTCCGTCCCGGCTTTGTAGGGATGCGAGGTCAATGGTCTAACGACTACGGCATGCACGACTATGAGTACACCCCCCCCCCCCCGCCCCCCCCCCCCCCCCCCCGGTGTTTACCATCGGGGTTGGGTTTTCGTCGCTTGGCAACGACGTTGTAAAACAAGCCGCCCCCCCCAGGGGTTCAAGGAGAAGAACAGAATCTAAGGAAAGAATCCAAGGATAAGGAGGGTCTGGAAGTGTACGGAACGTTGAAGGAAGGAATAGGGTTCAAGGATTACCTACATGGACCCATGGATGCAGGAACAAAGCTTAAGGTCAAATATAGGACCGGGGACATAGGCCTTCGAGAACGTCGACGAAGACATAGGAGGTGTGACGACGAAGACGACGAGTTCAAATATGATTGCGGCTTCGAATGCGAAGACCGTGTTCACGTAGTGGCGGAATGTCCGTTGTACAAGAAGGAGAGGGAAAAATAGATAACT